CAAAAAGGGGGAGTAGGCCAAGGCCTGGCCCCAAAGGCACGATTATCCATGGCACTATTCACACACAATTTTTTAAATTTAAATAATGATAATTGCTCCCCAGCCGTGGAGCACTGCAACCCTTCCCCCAACCATAAAGGGTGGGTGAAGTGGAAAGATGTCCTGACAGGACAATGGATGGGCCCAGATCCAGTGGTCAGCTGGAACCGAGGCGCGGTTTGTGTTTTCCCACAGGAATCGGGACGAGAACCACTGTGGGTACCGGAGAGACTGACACGGGCGACAAAGCCCTCAACTAAAGATCAGACCTGCCCTACCGGAGATCCATCACAGACCAACCAACAAGATGAATAGAAATAGCGGTAGCCCGAAATGGACAAGAAGATCCTCAGGCATATGCATGGCTCGCTCGCCTAGCCTACGACCGAGTCTAGGGACGGTGAGCTTCCCACACTCCTCCTCTAAAAAATTATGACATAGCTGGGTAGGAGAGTCAATGACGGGTAAGAGCGTACTCCCCCGGTGCGACTCAACCTAAGCCAGGCCCTACCCCATCCTGCACGTAAGCCGCTAGACTGTTAGATGCTGCCCAGGTCTAAATTTCTCTCCGAGGGGATTTCTTTACGGAGAGGAAATGAGTGCAAGCTTGTGTACATCCAGGTTCCGTCCAGTTTGTGCCTGGCCCTAGAAAAAGGACGAGGGCCTCAGGGCCTTGGCAGACCATGGGACGGCCGACCAGGGTCTAAGCCAAGGACCTACGGTGGGCCTACGCATAGGGCATAAGCCTCTGCACCCAGTCCAAAAAGGGCTACGATGCGCACATTCATAAAAAAAAATAAAAAAGGGGGAGATGTTGGGAGCCGCAGCCCCGAGCCCGGTCGCCTCACTTGGCGGACGTGAGGCCTGTAGTAAAGAGTAAAGCCTGAGGTAGATTACCCCTCCCATCGAGCACGTTAGTTTCCTGCTTACCGCGTAAGCAACCCGCTCAACAATATAGTCTGCCTGGCAACTGATGATGTTAGCCAATCAGCTTGCCTTGCTTACTTTAACATGATTGGACACTGTATCCGTATATATACTGGTGCCACCCCTGGGGGGGAAGAAGAAGCCCAGAAGTAGAAGCCCAAAAGGAGCCGCGGGGAGCGGACCAAAGGAGGCTTCGGCTGGGAGCGATCCCAGGGCAGGCTGTACGGAGAAGGAAAATAAAAGAAAAGGTTGTCCACTGCCAGACTTTGTCGTGTGTCCTTCCTGCCGGCCAGGAGCGACATCGACACCTCTCCACTTCACCTTCTGGGTGATCCGGTCCTTTGGGATGTTCTTTGGAATCCTCTTTCTGGCCTCCAGTGTCTTGTCTGTCTCAGGTTGCTGACTAGTGACCCAGCTAGGGCAGCAGAGCTCGTGACCACTGGTTGAGAACCACCCCAAGTGAACTTCAGCATGGAGCAGGTCTTCAGTGTCAGGCTGAGATTGCCTCCAACTTGCAGCAACCCTCCTGCCTCAGCCTCCCGAGTGCTGAGATGACAGGCGTGCACACCGCACCTGGCAATGCTGAGATGTGTGTCCCTTGTCCCACGGGTAGTGAGGGACCATGGATGGTTTTGGAGGAGACCAAAACTATGTCAAAAACCAGATACGTGCTTAGAAAAGGTCAAGACAATGACAATTGCACTTGCTTCTAACATTATTCCTTTGCTCTGGTAATGAACCCTGATTTGGGGGCTTCCTGCCCAGTGCCAGTGGGAACCCTTAAATCCATCTCTAAATGAATTTTTCTTCCAGTAATGGGATTGAACCCAGGGCCAGCACTTGGGTGGCAGAAATAGGAGGATTCCAAGTTCAGAACCACCCCAGGCAATTTAGCAATTTAGCAACCCCCTGCCTCAAAATAAAACACTAGTGCATAACTCAGCACTCTGGATTAAAACTCCAGGACTTCCCCCTCCTCCTACCACACAACAAACAAACATCAAAGTGAGTCGTGACCCGTTGTTTATGACTCTAGAATTTCTTTTAAATGTTTAATGGAGGGTGAATCCACCTGGGGTACAATGAACTGTTCACTCTATTGAAGTGCAGAATCCATTCAGAACATTCGTGGTGTTGGGAGTCCTGCACCCCAGAAGGAGAACCCCGACCCCAGGAAGCAGTGCGCCCCTCTCCAGCTCCCTCCTCCAGCAGCGGCCCCCACCAGCCTGCTTTCTGGCCCCGTTCTGTGCATTTCAAATAACATCCAACAAGAAGGGTCCCAGGGACTCCTCAGCCTTTTGGCTAAGATCAAGTGTAGTGTCTGTTTGTCTCAGTCGAGTATCCATCTGACCTGTCCTCTAGCCGAGGACTGGATATCAATTCTCATTTTACAAGTTCCTTGAAAGGAGCTGTTAGTGCCTATACTGTTGGATAATTTTGCATGCCTACATCCGGGAATCCGAGCAACTATTTTGAAGACAATATGTGTTGGGAGCCACCACATTGCCGAGCCGCCGCATATAGCGATCATGCGGCCTGTGGTAAAGAGTAAAGCCTGAGTTAGATTACCCCTCCCATCGAGCACGTTAGTTTCCTGCTTACCGCGTAAACAACCCGCTCAATAATATGTTAGCCAATCAGCTTGCCTTGCTTACTTTAACATGATTGGACACTGTATCCGTATATATACTGGTGCCACCCCTGGGGGGAAGTAGAAGCCCGGAAGGAGCCGCGGAGAGCGGACCAGAGGAGGCTTCGGCTGGGAGCGATCCCAGGGCAGGCTGTACGGAGAAGGAAAATAAAAGAAAAGGTTGTCCACTGCCAGACTTTGTTGTGTGTCCTTCCTGCCGGCCGGGAGTGACACCGACAAATATGGAATATAATAACCACTGCTAATTTCCTATCATCTTGTTTTGAAATTCTGTATCTTTTATTGTTTATTCTCTTAAAAAGCAGTGTCCTCTGGCATCCATTGTTGGTGGAGAATTTGGGGTGATTTCACCCCCACGGTCACATAAGCCAGCAGAGGAGGGGAGGAAACAGGAGCAAAGCAGAGCCAGGTGCTTTTCCACCCCTGTCACCCTGGAAGTGACAGCTCTGCTCCCAGCCTCTTACTTTTAATTTTGACACAGAATTTTGCTAAGTTGCCCAGGCTGGGCCACAAGCTGGAACCCTCCTGCCTCAGCCACCTGGATTGCCAGGATTCCAGGCATGTGGCGCGGCCCTGGCACCCCAGGGAGCCTCTGATCTAAGGTTTTTTTTTTTTTTTTTTTGGTCTTTTTCCTTTTTATCGGTACCAGGGATCGAACTCACGACTTCCTGCTTGCAAGGCAGGCATTTATGCCGCTGAGCTAAATCCTCAGCCCCAGGTTTTACATTTTTACCAAGCCCATTGCCTCTCCCGGCAATCACAGACGCCCAATTCCTTCCGCCCAGACACCGAGACACACAGTATTTTGCAGATCATTCCACAAACACCCAGAGAACACCCCCTACACACACATACAACCCAAGGAACCTGGTCTCTGAAACACTGCCCGGAGGACCCAGATACAGGGGACCCAAGGTCAAGTTCAAGAGCAGTGTGGGGGGCCTGGGTCCAGGCTCCGGTCTGGAACAACTCAACCCCCTCCCGGACATCGACAGGATGCCGATGAAATGCTGCACTGCAGGGCCTGAGCGATATACCCAGAGGCTCCCTTTAGGCAGACAGTGCCAGACGGTACTGTGAATACCGCAGCTCAACCGGGAACCCCACATTAAAGGCTTCAAGCCAGGAGTGGAGGTACACACCTGTCATCCCAGCACGCCAGGAGGCTGAGGCAGGAGGACGGGAACTTCAAGCCCACACTGGGCAACTTAGCAAGATCTCCTATTAAAATAATATCAAACCATAAGCACCTGCCTTGCAAGCAGGCAGTCGTGAGTTCGATCCCTGGTACCGATAAAAAAGGAAAAAGACAAAAAAATTTTTAAAAATAATATCAAACATGTGGCTGGGAGCATTCAGGAGGCTGAGGCAGGAAGGCTGTTGCAGGATTTGAGGTCAGCCTCGGCTACATAGTGAGTTCAAGGCCAGCTTGAACTACTTAGCAAGACCTGGGAAAAATAAATAAATACATGAATAGAAAATGGCTGCTGACGTAGCTCAGTGCCAAGTTCCTGGGATCAAACCCAAGCACTACAAGGAAGAAAGAGAGAGAGAAAGACAGAGAGACAGAGAGAGAGACAGAGGGAGATGAAAGGATCATGGCTTGATGATGGATGAATAATAAATGTATTGATGGATGATAGACAGATGGACACTTTAGTGAATGAATAGATGGATGCACAGATAATAGATGAAATGGTACATAGAGGATGTAAAAATGCATGGATCTATAGTAGGTGTATGGACGGATGGGTGGATGGATGGATGGATGGATGGATGGGTGGATGGATGGATGGGTGGATGGATGAATGGATGGGTGGGTGGATAGATGGGTGGATGGATGGATGGATAAATGGATGGGTGGATGGATGGGTGCATAAATTAAAGGTTGGATATACAGATGATTCAGTTGAAAGTTCAATAGATGGATAAATTAATGGATGAAGTAAAGGACAGGTATATTTCTAAACAGGAGAAGGGGTGGATACATACATTAATGGAGGCTGGATGAATGGATAGATAAAGGAAGAGTGAACAGATAGATTAACGGATAGATTGATTCACAGGATGGCAGGCTGGGTGTGGTGGCACAAGCCTGTCATCCCAGCATTCAGGAGACTGAGGCAGGAGAATTGCCACACATTCAAGGCCAGCCTGAATGACATAATGCAAACTTGCCTCGAAAAGAAAGAAAAATATCAATGAATGAATGGGTGATTTAATGCATAGATAAATCAATTGTTTTAGTGTATCTGCCAGCAGGTGGATGGGTAGGTCAGAGGGATTTATTCATCTGGGGGAGTCGACAGGTGTCTGTACACGGCGACTGAGCTGACTGTAAGTAGGTGGCCAGAGGCTTGGTGGCCACTGCTGTGAGAAACACTTTACACAACCAACTCCCTTTATTCACGCAGAAACCCCATGCGAGAGGGAATATTATTTACAAACAAGGCTCGAGCTGCGGAGGTAGGGAAAATCAAACCTTAGAGCCGGCCATGACCATGGAGGGAGCCGCGCTCAGGTCTGTCTGGCTCCAAGCCCCGATGCTAACCCCCATTCCCAGATGTGCCCTCTGCTTCCCACGGTGTGGGACAGACACTGGTCACCCTCGCCCCTGGGGGTCCCCGTGGTCCACGGGGCCCGAGCAGTCCGGGGTGTCCCTCCCTGTCCTCAGATGCCCACCAGCGATGACTTCTCCTGGCATCTGGGGTACCTGCCTGGGGGTCTGTGAGGTCTCTGTGTGTCTGTGCGGGTGCAGGGGAAGGGGTCCAATGTCATGTCTGTTCTTGGTGACATTCCAGATCTAAAGCGGAGCCACATCATTCAGGTCCCCTGGTCCCCGGGGCTCCAGCCCCACACCAGCCCATGTGACAGTGGCCATGGGGAAGGGACGGACACAGGCAGGTCGTGGAGGGAGCCGAGGCAGGGGCACCAGACCACCACAGGGACAGCAGGACACTGTCCCCTGGCTGCGGGAAGGGTGGGGGGAGGACTTAGCGGGAGGCAGGGGAGAAGAGAAGGACCCAGAGTGTCCCTCTGGTGCAGGGCTGGCGCGGGCCTCCACCTCAAGACCCGGAGGAATCCACAGCGGGTGACTGTGATGGCACCAGCGGTCCTCAGCAGTTCTTGTCATCGGCCTGTATTTCAATGTAGGGCAGTCCCACAGGCCAAGAGTCCCGCGGCCAGTAGCGGACCTTGAGGGTCTCACCTGGCATCTCGTACGTGGCATCCACCAAGGCCATAGTGACGAAGCCATAAGGGAACGTGATGCTGATGATTACGTGCCTGGGGGGTGCAGAGAGACAGAGGGTGAGGGCGCTGGGCACCCCAGCTCTCCCCCAGCCTCCCCCCCCCAGCCTCATGGGTCTGGGCCACCAAAGGGACTTAGGGTCCAGCCCCCAGCTTCCCCTCCCTGCTGAGGCTCAACATCTACACCTCCCCCGGGACTCCCCCCATATCCCACCCCAGGCCCCTGCTCGGAGCTCAGATTCCTGGGACAGCCTGGAACTCACCAGATGCTGTGCAGATAGAAGAAATGAATCCTCTGCCAGAAGCTGCAGAACAAACGGTCGCTGACCCAGCTGATGACCGCGCTGGCCCACAGAATCGTCGACACGTGGATGATGTGGCGGAGCTGCCTGTTGGTGGTCCTGGGAGGACACGGGGACCCTGGCTCAGACAGCAGCACCTGCAGGGTCCCCTGAGAAATTCCCGCCATCCCAGGATGGGCAGGGGGAGGGGCAGGGCCTCAGGGCCTCAAGGTGTCCACGAGTTAGTGCTTCCTGGGCACAAAAAGACAGTGACCGCCCAGCCACGCATTGCTGACCCCGACCCAGAGATAGGACCGGTCAGTCACAGGCGGGGGCCTCTAAACAGAGCCCGGACACACCTTAGCTTTCTTGCTAGGGGAGCAGAGCATTGCCATGTCACCGAAGCCAACTTCCTGCCTCAGCCTCCCGACCAGAGCTGCGCGCCCAGCTCAGCTTACCTCTTTGTGAGTAGTTATCTGGGGTCTTTGTTACAGACCCCAGAAATCTGACTGACACGGTCCCCGATCTGTGCTTACACTAACTCTTGCTAAGTAATTACAGGTCACTAAGTGCAGGGGTTAACTCTGCCCCACGGTCACTCACTGGCTTTGATGGTGTTTCCGATTGGCTTGGCCAACAGTGTCCAGTTTGCTGGACCCAAGTGGGTTGGCAATGGAATATTTACTTCCCTATGTCCTCCGTGGGGCTGCGTCAGGCTGGTTGCAACCGGGCACTGCAGGTGGCGTCTCCGAGGAGCTCTCTCCGTGAGAACGGGGATGGCTCCTTCTTGGTTCTTGTGGTCACTTGTTCCCGCCTCCCCTCGCGTGACTACTGACCCCACATCGCTGGATGGGCACGTAACCCCACGCTCGCTAGCACAGGGACACTAACCAACGCCCACAATTCTCCTGTATCCTGCCTTCTTCCTTCATTTATAATCTCTTGATTCTTCTCAAATGAATCAATTTGAGGCCCCCTGTCTCTCCTGCAAGGACCATTGCGGGCAGTTAGTAATTATTGGGAGAATTCACCCCTGAAAAATTTAAGGGTGCAAGTACATGGGTCACAGGGAACTGTGTAACACACACTGGTAAGATGTGGGTGGTTATCAGAGCTGGTTGATGAGTGTGTAGAAGTGTAACTGTCAGGGGCTGGGGATTTAGCTCAGCGGCATAAGCACCTGCCTTGCAAGCAGGCAGTCGTGAGTTCGATCCCCGGTACCGGGAAAAAAAAAAGAAGTGTAACCGTCACCTTTCTGTGGCTGGAACAAAATATCCTGACACACTCAACTTACAGGAGAAAAACGTTTATCTGGGCTGGTGGATGCAGAGGTTTTGATCCATACTTTGCTGGCTCCAGGTGGAGGCATGCTGGCCTGGCTCACCTCACGGCTGAGTTAAAAAGAGCCAGAGAGGGAGGAGGGGCGGAGACCGGAGGGTGACCCTGGGGGTCACGCCCGCGGTGACCTCTTCCTCCGGCAGCCTCCACCTCCACGCAGCACGCTCACCTAGGAGCTCATCTTTAGTCCTGGGTGACCAAATCACCTTTCAAAAGCCCCACTTGTGAACACAGGAGCTCTCCAGGGACATGTTTTGTTTTTAAGCCAAACCCTGACAGCCCTATTCTCTACACTGACCAGTATGATTTTTTAAGGGTGTTATCCTGAAAAGGGCCAGCTCTACAGTGCAACAGACTTAGGTGCAAATCAGGGGAGAGACGTCCCCTCCGGGAGCCTGCAGATAGGGATTCAGTTCTCGGAACGTGATGGGTATGGGAGGTTCTTGGGTTGGGGGGCAGGAGCTGACCCGCTGGGCTCAGCGCAGCAGCCCTCCTGCCTCAGCCTCCCCTCCGGCTGGGCTGAGGGCCCGGGGACCACCGCGCCCCAGCTCACTCACTTCCTGTACTCCGAGCACACGATGTAGAGGACATGGATGGCGATGCTGTTGAGCGCGTAGGCATTGAGGATGGGCCTCACCACCGACAGGAAGGTCACGATCGTGGTGCCCCAGAGCATCATGCGGGTGAACTGAAACCTAGGGGGAACCGGGGTTCACACGTGGGTGCTGGGGAGGCCTGGGGAGCCCAGGTGGATTCAGGAGCGGCTGGGCGGGATGAAGAGATGGGCTCAGGGCAGGAGGTGGAGGGGTCCAGGGCAGTCAGTGGAACGCCGGGGACCAGGGGAGTCATCAGCTCAGAGGTTTAGGGGAAGCCAGGCAGGCTCAGAGGTGGGACCCCCCCAAAGCCAGCTTGCTCTCAGGGGCCCCCGAGGACTGACGATGTCAGAGCATAGGGGCAGGGGTTCCGGAGGGCTTCGCTGGGCTGCCCAGGAATGGATGTGGGTGGGCCATTCAGTGCGGAGCGGGGGTCTCAGGCGCCTTGAGTGTGGGGTCGATCAGGTGAAAGACTCGGGGTGCCCAAGCAAGGGGTTCAGAGGTCCCCAGGGCCCAGGGAGGCATCTGGAGCCGGAGAGGGCCCCAGGCCATGCTGGTGAGTCGGGCTGGGCCAGGGAAGAACCCGGGTTTGGGCCTGGGCTCAGGGGGACTCAGAGCGCACCCCAGAGGCCCCGGGTGCCTCACCTGCTGCCCCTCAGGAAGCTGGGAAAGTAGCAGCGAGGCATCCAGATGCTGTAGCAGCTGGACAGCATCCACAGGATGGCCACCTCGTCCAGCAGCTGGCCCAGGAAGCTGAGCGTCGCGTGGAAATACATGGAGAAGAGGCCTGGGGAGGGCAGCGTGTCGGGGTGTCCCGCGCCCACCCGGCTCCCCACGCCCGCCCTCATCCCCGCCCCGCACCCACCTGTGAGCACGAAGAGCATCAGGACGCTGTAGATGTAACGGGAGCGCTTGTGGACGTAGGAGCGCATCAGGAAGGCCATGAGCGGCCCGAAGATCAGGAAGGTCACATTGCTGAACTGGAAGACACCCGCGCCCTGTCACTCGGCGGGGGCAGCAGCCGCAGCCTCTCCTCGCTCCAACCCTGGGCCACGTCCTGCTCACGCACCACCCAAGGGCTGTCACTGCCTCCCCTGCCACCTTCTGGGGGGACTTTCTCTCCCCTGTGTGGCGCTGGGGCGGAACCCAGGGCCTCACCCGTGCTAGGCAAGCGCTGTGCCGTGGAACCCCAGCCCCAGCCCTGGCCAGTCACAACAACCCACTGGACAACCATCAGTCAGTCCCTTGCTCCACCTGTGATTCAGTCAACAGACACGGAGGCCGGCTTGGTGGCGCACACCTGTCATCCCAGCACTTGGGAGACTGAGGAGGGAGGGTCACCATAAGTTCCAGGCCAATGTGGGCTACAGAGTGAGTTCAAAGCCAGCCTGAACTGCATATCGAGACCCTGCCTTCCCTCCCCCAAAAATGTGGCAAGGCCTGACTGCTAACCCATGTGTAGCCCCCACATTTTCTTGTTGGAAGGAAATACTTTGTACCCCTGAGTTCCATCACCATCGATGGAACCAAACCAATGCTGTTTGAAAATGTTCTGAATACAGTCCAGTAGATGAATGTACAAAGAAAACGTAGTGTATATGCACAGTGCAGTATTACTCAGGGATATACTTTTTTTTCCCTTCTGGAGACAGAGTTTCACTCTGTAAATCAGGCTGATCTTCAATCCACTTTGTAACCCAGAGTGACTTCAAACTCACATCGATCCTCCTGCCTCAGCCTCCCAAGTGCTGGAATTACAGGCGTCTGCCACCAGGCCCAGCTACAAAGGATAAACCTGAGTTATTTGCAGTCCAAGGGGATGTACCTTGGGATGAGAAGGCTAAATAAAGGGAATCAGACACCGAAGGTTAAATATTGTGTGGTTTCTCTTATATGAGAAGCCCAAAATATAAATAATTGAAACAGCAAAATAAAAGATAGAAAAAAGGAGACAGATATCGATATGGGAGCAGGAGATGGACAGACATGGGAGGCTGAGGAGGGGAAAGGGGAGTAAAAATAATTAAGATGCACCGGGCGTGGTGGCTCACGCCTGTCATCCCAGCACTCGGGAGGCTGAGGTGGGAGGATCGTTGTGAGTTCGAGACCAGCCTGGGCTACAAAGTGAGCTCAAGGCCAGCCTGAACTGCATAGCGAGATCCCGTCTCAAAACACACACACACAAAAAAAAATAACTAAGATGTGGGGCTGGGGATTTAGCTCAGCAGCATAAGCACCTGCCTTGCAAGCAGGCGATACACAAGATGAATGTAATTATTATACACCATGAACATATACCAATAAAAAAGAAAACACTCCTTTTGTTTGTTTGTTTTTGTTTTTAAAACCATCTCACTATGTAGTTGAGGCTCACCTTAAACTCGCTATGTAGCCCAGGCTGGCCTCAAACTCAGGACAATCTTCCTGCCTCAGCCTCCCAAGTGCTTGGATTCTAAGTGTGCAACCACAATTCTTGGTTTAAAAGAAAACATTCTGAACATATAGACTGTAATAATCCACCAAACAATACAGCAGAACAACAAGGCACACAGAGTTTACATTGTCTTAGGCTTCCGTAGGGTCTGTGCTGATGATTTTGGTACCCATAGGAGTCCTCTAACCAGTGCCCTATGAAACACTACATTTCCCAGCATACCTTGCAGTTCACTTGAACCCCGTGACTGGGTACAGCCAATAGGATGAGGCTACAAATAACTACTGCTTCCGGGTCAGTTCTTAAGTCACCTCTGGCTTGCTCGCTAAGCTTCTTTGCCCTTCTTGCAGTTTGAAATGCAGACTTGTGGTGGTTGTAAGTTAGCTTTTACTTTGTAGACGAGAAAGGGTGATACGATACTTTAATGATTCACCTCTAACAGAAATGAGGTCGTAACTGATGAGGTTAGGTCCTAAAAGGGACTGTGGCTTCCACCTGGTTCATTTTTTGTCTTGTCTCTGTCTCTCTCTCTCCCTGTCTCTCTCTGTTTCATTTAATGGGGATGAATCCCACAGATCCTCTACTGCAGCACTGCAACCCCACTCTCCTTCCCTCCACTTTTTATTAAATTTTGAGGCAGGAGCTCACTAACTTGCCCAGGCTGGCTTTGAAGGTGTGCCTGAGTAGCTGGGGTTACAGGGGTGTGCCACCATGCCCAGCCCACATGATTTCTTTTTCTTAGAACATGGAGCTTTGGACCCTTGAGCCACCAAGACAAGAAGCCCAGCTCTACCTGAACCCATTGTTCTGGAGAGATGACTCCTCTATGATAGAGAGAAGGGCTAGAGAGTATCTGTTCCAACACCAGGTGCTTGATTTCTCCAGCTCCATGCCATGCACAGGGACAAAACTTCGGTGGGTTCCAGCCCCATCCCATCTTCCAGCCGATTCCAAAGCCCATCCTGATTTATGAGCACAATAAACCTAGCCTTGTTTCCAAGCCACTAATTTGTAGAATGATTTGTTATGCAGCATTAACAAGCTGAGACTAAAAATAAATATATTATTGTGGGCTGAGATGGCTGAAAAAGGCTTCCTGGGGAAGGGGGAGGAGAAATAGAAGCCAGAGGCTTCTGTATGACTGTACCTGCCCAGAATCCCATGATTATGTTGTTGGGTTTGATAAGGTTATCTGGGGGCTAATTATCTGTCTCCCTATCATTAGATATCTACTATATTCCAGGTCGTAGGAAGAGTGTATTATTTCCAGAATTTTTTCTCTTCCTCAGAATAGCATTTAGATTCTCAGATAAGCACGATGGTGCACCCTTGTAATCCCAGAATTTGGGGGGCTGAGGCAGGAAGATTACTGGGAGTTTGAGGCCAGCCTGAGATACATAATGAATTCAAGTCCAGCCTGGTCTATATAGTGAGACCATGTCTAAAAAAAGGTAGAACTGAGTCTCCGAGTGGTCAATTCATCCAGCCCTGTCATTAGCCAGGAAGTGAAGATTTGAAATTTGAAGTCAGATCCCAAGAATTTTTGAATTTTAAATTTTTCCTTCCTTTCTTTCATTTCTTTCTTCTGTTGGGCACTGAAGCCAGCATCTCCCTCCCCCAGCATGTATAGACCCCTTGTTTATTTTTTATTTTGTGACAAAGTCTCATCAAATCACTAAGTTCCCCAGGCTGGGCTTGAACTTGTGATCCTCATGCCTCGTCCTCTCAGAGTGCTGTGATTAGAGGTGAGGTGTTCATTTCATGCTCAGCAAAAACATAGAAGTTTCTCTTTTTGTCTTTTTCTTTCTTTCTTTTTTTTCTCCAAATTCTTGATCTTAAAAGTCTTTTTCTTTCTTTTGCATGTCATCAGCATTTACAATTGATATAAATGTTTTATCTCTTCTATTAAAGTGTTTCTTATGAGATGGATCAGAATTCTGTTTCCCATAGCCACAAAAATTGTTTAAGAGGTGACAGTTAGTGTTTGATGATGACCTAAGAAGTCAAGGTATGAAGGCCATAAAAAATATGGCAGTTATAGTGTAGAATGGAGGCTGAGTGTTTCTACGTCCATTCTCCCTTCTTCCTAACCAAGGTGTGACTTGATTCCAATTAGCAGGACACAGCCCCAGATTCAGAGAGAGGATAACAATACTGTAAGTCATTCTGATTCTCCACTTTCTTTTATGATACCAGACTCCCTTGCAGCTACACACAACCATGTGACTTGTTTCTACCAATGAAATGTGAGTATGATAGCCATTTCCCGGTTGCATTCTTAAAGGGAAAGGATGCACTTTGCCCTAACCCTCTTTCTTTCTTTCTTTCTTTCTTTCTTTCTTTCTTTCTTTCTTTCTTTCTTTCCTTACCCACTTTCTACTGGAGAGCAGATGTGGTGAAGTAATTTCTTGGAACATACAACTAAGGACTGTGGCTTAGAGATATCAAAGAGATCACGGCGGAGGATCCTGGGTTCCTGGCACCAGAGAACTCCCACGCCAGCCCTGAAGGTTTATGATGAGATGTTGTGTAGGAGAGAAATAAGGCTCCCATTCTGCGAAGTCACTGTTATTTTAGATCTTAGCTACATTTGCTGAACCAATACTTTAAGTGACATTTCATTCTTGCTGAATGAACCCAGATTTTGCATGGGCCCCAGGAGGACATCGCCTGCAAGGTTAGGCAGGACGGAGACCCAGGGCACGAGTCACCTCCAGTGTCTGGAGAATGCATTTGTGGGCCGGGCCTGGTGGCCCAGGTCTGTAACCCCAGCACTGGGGAGGCTGAGGCAGGAGGATCGCTGTGAGTTTGAAGCCAGCCTCTACTACATAATGAGTTCAAGACCATCCTGAACTGTGTAGTGACACTGTCTCTGAAAATAAAATTAAATTTAAAAACATACTGGGCAAGGGATACAGCTCAGTGGCACAGCACCTGTCTGGCAAGCACAGAGTCATGAGTTTGATTCCCAGCACCAATAAACAAACAAATAGGAAGCCAGGCATGATAAGCACGCCTGTAAGCCCAGCACTTGGGAGACTGAGGCAGGAGGGTTACTGAGAGTTCAAAGCCAGGCTCAACTACACAGCAAGACCCATCCTTAAAGAAATTAATTAATTAATTAAAAGCCAGGAAGGAGGGGGGAAGACACGGATATGTGATAAAATTCTGGCCAAGAAGACACAAGGGACAGTCTGAGGGGAGACTTCTGGGAAAGTCTTCTTTGTTGAAGTCTGGCCAAGTGGGAAAAAAAAAAAATCTTTGGGCAATGTTGTATTATAACTCAGGAGGCTGAGGCAGGAGGATCTCTGTGAGCTGGAGGCCAGCCTGGGGTACAAAGTGAGTTCAAGGCCAGCCTGAACTGCATAGCAAGACCCTGCCTCAAAAACAAAATGAAACAGACAAAAACCACCACAACTCCACAGCTACACCTCCCCTCGGCTACCGCAGGTAATATCAGTGCACGTACGTGGTGTAGCCTTTGGAACAGCCCATGGCAGCCTCCTGGCAGAATCAGAGAGAGACTGCAAGGCGTAACTTCATGTT